TTCACTTCGATACTCATTTTGAGAATTTTATTGAATAGAGCGAATTAATTTAGGACAAAAGGAAAAGGTTCACTTGATACTCATTTTGAGAATTTTATCGAATAGAGCGAATTAATTTAGGACAAAAGGAGGAGGTTCACCTCGATAGTCATTTCGAGAATTTTATCGAATAGAGCGAATTAATCGAGGACAAAAGGAGGAGGTTCACCTCGATAGTCATTTCGAGAATTTTATCGAATAGAGCGAATTTGGTGTACGAGTAGTCGAGGACAAAAGCAGGAACAGCAAAGTGGCCCCAGGCGAACACGCGTCGCCGCTTAATTTCTGATCAGAGGATGGCTTCTGCACCCTCTCGCGTTGCCCTACACGATGCAAACCGAGTCAAAGAGAGACGACCAGAGTTTCACAAATCTGATGAAGGAGACGTTGATGCGCGAAAACGAGCCATGATCTTTTCGCGATCGATGACTTGGAATTTAAAAATCCAACTTCCTGTCCTTCGTTAGTGAAAAATAAATAAAAAGCAAATTCCTTTGGAGATTTAAATTAATTAAAATTGTAATTAAGCGATCCAACGAATGGATTATTTTTATTTTTTTATCGAAGAATATAATAATTAGAGAATGAAGGAAAGGTTTAAAAGAAGGTTTAAAATCGAAAAGTTGGAAGGGGAATGGGATTCGAAGCACGGACACGCCTGTTTGTCCTTCAATTTTCAGTTTGAAAATGGTGTCCCCGCGTGTACGATCCGCACGTGCGAACGAAACCATCAATTCCCTCTTTGATAACTGATCCATGGTGATTGCAATCTAACGAGGCGTCGAAACCACAAGCCGTTTACATCAAACCACCCCAGGCCAAACCTTCCAACCACGTGAAACGGATTGCGCCACAGCGTGTTCCATCCAACTAATATACCGAACTAATGAAAATCTCGCAGCTATTATTAAAAACCGCTTCTTTTCTCAACAGATATCGCTTACCGTCGCCGTTAAAAAAGAATTTAGATAGTAATTCGTTGTCAACCGGCTATACCAGTTTTGTCTCCAATTTTCCACGACGATGATGAAAACAAATATCTTTTCATTACTTATCTCGGGCTACTAGTTTCATCTAGTTCAAATTTTCGATGATGATAAAAATATACCTTTGGTTATTTTCTGCTACTAGTTTTATTTAATTCAAATTTTCGACGATGATAAAAATATATCTTCTGCTACTAGTTTTATTTAATTCAAATTTTCGATGATGATAAAAATATACCTTTGCTTATCTTCTGCTACTAGTTTTATTTAATTCAAATTTTCGACGATGATAAAAATATATCTTCTGCTACTAGTTTTATTTAATTCAAATTTTCGATGATGATAAAAATATACCTTTGCTTATCTTCTGCTACTAGTTTTATTTAATTCAAATTTTCAACGATGATAAAAATATATCTTCTGCTACTACTTTTATTTAATTCAAATTTTCCATGATGATAAAAATATATCTTCTGCTACTAGTTTTATTTAATTCAAATTTTCGATGG